TTCAGTCAAGATTTGAGAAAGATGTTAGAACATGGGGTATAAATAAAGAACCTACATTAGATAAAATTTTAATGGGGATGGATGAAAAATTGATTAAAAATATACAATTATTTACTGCAAGATCTACGTAACATAAAAAATGTCAGTTAAAACAAGCTAGCATTTTAGAGCATGCTGCCTTTGCTGTTTAAATAATATGCTGACAAGCCTGATTCAGTCTTTGTATAGTAGCAGTTTCTTATTTTAGGAAATAAGAAAATAAGAAATAAATACATTTGTTCCATGTATTCATTGGAAGGTTCAGGGATAATGTGAGAGGGTAATGTGTTTTTTAAAAAAAATATTTTTATTAAAAGGAGATTTTATAAAGATTAAAAAATATGGAAACAGAAGAAACAGAAAAAGATATAAGAATAAAAGAAAATAAAGAATAATAATAAGCAAGAAAAAAGTATTTTAAAAAGCTACATCGAATCTTATTTGCAGCTGTTTCAAACAGCAGTTACCCTCCCATATTGTATTTCATAAATCTTTTAATCAATAAAATCCAAAATCAGCATTTTAATCTATTTTCATAAAGTGTCTATAAAGTCTTTCCAGTATTTTATTTTTTAAAAAGTATTTCTTTCCTTGATCAAACAATTCAGTTTAGTCATTTCTGCAATTCAGCCCTTCCTCCATTGTTGTTTCTGTAGTTTTTCCATTTTGTGCATATAATGGCTCTGCTGCAATTATCATATATAAAACCAATCATTCATGAGCATTTTTAAGTTGAGTCTCGATATGTCTTAGTAAGAATAGTTCCATTTTTATCTGAGTGTTAATTTTTAAAACTCTCTGCATCACCATACATATTTGTATCCAGTATATTTTCACTTTTTCACACGTCCACAATGCATGATAAAATGTCCCGTCATGTTTTTCATATTTTCAACAGTGATTAGAAGTGCCTTTATGCATCTTAGGCAGTTTTACATCATTTTTAAAAAGTTTACTTTTAAATTATAAGACACTGAATTTCAGATCGTTTAACCACATTCCCAATGATCAATTTGAATATTATAACCAACATTTTTGGCTCATTTTACCATACATTCTTTAACTTGCTTTTCCTCTGGTATTTATGTATTTTAATTTCACCTTGTAAGTTAATATATCTTCACCATGACTTTGCTTGCCCCCTTCACTTTTTCACTATGTGAACTTGTTGACCGGATACCATGTTTTCTGCATGGCTGTGCTTTGCAGAATGTTTAACTGGAATTTTGCAGTGAACCACACATTCCAATTGACCTGAATGAGAAAGAATTACTTTATGCGTAATTTGAAGAATGAGTGAACATTAAGTTCTAAGATAGATTGTTTACTTCTTCATGACAAATCAGGAAAATCAAAATTAGGCTATATGCTAAAATTTAGGGCATCCCATTTCTCCTTATTTTTGCTCTTATGAATTTAATAGGACAGGTTTTCCAAACTTTGAGAATGAAGAAAGTTCCACCTGTTGAATTTCTGTTTGTCCATACAGCTGTTAAGAACATAGGAACCTTGCCAGAAAGAAACTGGTGGCCCCTGGATATCCAGAATGAAGGAATCCTAAACAGATGGAAACATACAGCTGTTCAAATAGAAAACACTGTATTCTTATTTTGACACCAACATGTCAATCATTCACCATAACACCATGAAAAAAAAATCAATAAGAAATATGGGTACTTACACAACAGCTGCAGAAACTGACTTATTTTTTAATCTACAAATAGTGATCTTTGTGTTTCTTGCTAACATGAGGCTCAATTGTACTAAGAATTTTGGACCTTTTTTTAATGTAGGAGGAATTCCCTGTGCAGTGTCTAAGAAGTTCCAGATGTTTGTTATAAATGCACTTTACAAGCTGAGTGTAATTAATTTCAATTTAGCAGCCTAGAGAGTACCCTAACTCTGCATACATGTTCTTTTCTGGGCATAATTGGGTTGAATGGGTGAATAAGAGCTGTGCTGCATGGAACTTCTGTGAAAAATGAGGGCAAAGCATGTAGAGACTAAGAGAGATTTTAAGATAGTTTTGTTAGGTCTTTATTAAGTATTTGGAGTGGGATTCTTACATACAGTATATGTGAAAAGGTCTCCATATTATTTCCAACCCTGCAATATTTTATATTTTAATCAAATGTGCAAGATTGGCTAGTTGTTAATGTTTCTGAATAAAGCAGCTTAGCCAAAATAAAAACATTTCTGAACTAAGATCCAAGTGATAATTCCAAATCACCAATTTTATACTATCTGAAAATTGAGACCCAGATATGAGATGTACAGATAGTTTCAACTTAAAACAATTCATTTAGTGACTTAGTTCTAAGTTACAACTGCACTGAAAAAAGTAACTTATGACTGTTTTTCACACTTACAATAGTTTCAGCATCCCCATGGTCACATGCTCAAAATTCAGACACTTGGCAATTGATTCATATTTATGATAGTTGTAGTATCCAAGAATCATGTGGTCACCTTTTGCAACCTTCTGACAAGCAAAGTTAATGAGGAAGTCAGTTTCACTTAACAACCCTATTACTAACTTAACAACTATAGTGATTCACTTAACGGTAGCAAGAAGGTCATAAAATGGGGCAAAATTCACTTAACTGTCTCACTTAGCAACAGAAATTTGGGCTCAATTGTCATAAATCAAGGACTATCTGTACAAAATTACAGAAAGATTCTATATGGTTTGTGCTAAATGCAAATTATTCACATCAAATTCTTCTGATATCCTGTGATCATTTCTGAATAGAGATAGATTTGGATATCAACAATTTAATGCTATGATTAAACATTGGATAGATTGCAATACGTGTTTTCTCCCAGTTAAATGAAATGAGAATTGTGTTGCACCAGTTATGGCAAGCAAGCTGAACATTGCAACCATTTAAATAAGCGGGGGGAAAAGCTGTACAAAAGAGAAGAAAACTGGAGAAAAGCATGCTTATTTATTGTCATCACTACCCAAAAAGTAGGTTCAACAATAGTGTTAATATTAGATTGTGTCAGTCCTCCCTGGTAAATCAGACAGGAACTAGGACTAGATGAACTAATTCTACTTTATTGTCAGACTAAATTAACAGAATCTTGCAAGTTTGAAAGTACAAATTTCCTGCCCACCCCTTTTAACTACCTGGTTCATTAGGGCAGATCCTTTCTCAATTTCTTTCTGTGACTGTTAAGCAACTGTAGGCTTCTGCCCTTCCTGTCTGATTGTTTCCTAGGCAACCTGTCTCTTCCTCTTTCCTCAAGGCCACTAATGCATTCCATTGCAGAACCCAAATCAGATTTTCCCCAACCTGTATTCAGAATATATCAAACTGCTTCACTTCTCAAAGAACTAAAGAAGCTGCAGAGGATTTACTAAGCAGTTGCCAAGGCGTGATGTTAACTGCCCTTATTATATGTCAACCAGTGGTGAAATGCTACCGCTTTGGCCCGGTTCACCCGAACCAGTAGCAAAAATTGTAGTATCAGCAGTAAAAAAAAAAAGCTCTGACGATCAGCTGAGAGGAGAAAGAAGAGAAAAACGCAGGGTTGGCCCTCCCACCTGCCCTTGCGCTTTTCTGTTTTTTATTGTCTCAGCGGATTGGCGCGGCAGAACCTTAGCTAGTGTTTGGAAAGCTGCGTGCGTGCGTTAGGTGCGTGCATACACAAAATGCGTGATCACCGAACCGGTAGGGAAACTGGTAGAGTCCCACCACTGATGTCAACGTGACCTATGATCACCCAGAGCTTCAATATCCATATCACCCAAAATATACCCATATTTTTTACCCATGTCCCATTTTTTGCAGAAGTGAGAATAATTCTGAATACAGATCTCAAAAGAAAATGACTGATCATAACCAGTGGTGGGATTTAAATAATTTAACAACTGGTTCTTTGCCCTAATGACCAGCTGGGTGGCTGTGGCTGTGTGGGCATGGCCAGGGTGTGGGCGAGGCCAGCGGGACTTGACAGCACTCACCTCCTGCAGCACTTTGCCAGCCAAAATGGGGTGCAGGGGCTAATTACAAAATGTGGGCTTTGCTTTGTGACATCCAGATCCAGCGAGCAAGGGGTGTGAACTGCACGGAAAATAAACTTTTCTTTGGTTATGAAGAAATATCCCAAAAGTCAGCTGTAGACTAAATGTAAACTGACACACCTCCTCAGCAAACAGCAAATTTTGAAGCTCCAGGTAAAAAGAGGACTTGTTTTAGGATGAGTAACCACAGTTTGCATGTTGGAGGTTCCTAAACTCTATTTTAAAGAACATTTGAGGGATGGGTGCAGAATAGCCCTTCTCTTCCTGAGGATGTAGAGTCCCGGCACCAATCAAAACACTTTTTGTGAAGCAACTGATCAACACTATAGTTAGTATATTAAAATAAGAGCAAACTCCACTCCCTTCTAATATTGATGAGGTTATACCTAGCTTGGTAACAAAACATCTGCAAGACAACCATCAAGCTCAGACAGCACCAAGGAACCCAGAGTTCAAGCCTGAGCTACAAATATTCTTTTCTATCAAACGCTTTTTAGTTAGAAGGGCTCAGAGCCTGCGTTATATGAGACGACTCCCAATGGATTTCATTCTAAAATTTGATATGATTTCTGTAAATAAGGAATGTAGAATTATAATCGCTGAGTATTTGATCCTTCATGCATCAAAAAAATACAAAGGGATAAACAAATAAAAAACAGATTTGAAAAAAGAAAAGGCTCTGGGGGAAAAAAGTGAAAGGGTAAGAAAGAAAGAGGAAAAGAAGGAAAACTGAAAAAGAATGACTTCCAACTTTCTTTAGTACAGATAAAAGTAAAAAAATATATCAAACTCTTACTCTAAGATTAACATTTGTCTACATTATTTCCATAATCCCTTATTTAATAATCAAAGTCCAGATCAATTTTTAATTTCAGTTTCTCACAAAAAGTCCAGTAATGGTTCATATCACTTTAATCACTATTTGTTGACAAAACCATAACTGATTTATTTAATTGCACCAAACTTTAAATAAAGCAGAAATGGAAAATCCTAAACTCTAGTGTAGACCCATGATTCTAATCTTTGACAACTTTAAGGTGCATGGAGTTCAATTCCCAGAATTCCCTAGGCAGCATGAAGATCTCCCATCTTAAACTTGCCAAGACTGAAAAATGCTGATCTACAGATAGGGATTTTTCCATTCCTCTTTTACTAGGTCCTACTTACTTATGAGCAATCATAATACAAAATCCCCATTCCCAACTCACCCCACAGTAATGATCATGCAAAAACCCCCTTCCCAACTCATCCTAGAGCAGGGGTTTGGGGCCTGGAAGATCTGCACCATCCTGGAAGCCAAACGGGCATGGGGGGACCACATGACACCCCCGTGCTCCATTTTGGATCTGGATGGCCTCCTGCACCAATCTGGAAGACAAAATGGGGCACGCAGGGGAAGTCCTAGGAGTGGCGTGGTGGGGTGAGTGGGCCAGCCAGAGGTGGGATTGCAACAGGGAGAAAGCAGAACTACATCTGTCTTTACACAAAGGGAAAAAACAGTCCAACCTATCAAAAACAGCACCACAAAAAACAGAATAGGAAGTTAAAAGTTAAAATAGGGAAGAAAATGGTAAGTGAACACCTGTCTACCATAGACGAGTTCAAATCACCAGGACTGGATGGATTACACCCCAAGGTTCTGAAGGAACTGGCAGATGAGAACCCAGAACCACTGAATTATATCTTTCAAAGATCCTGCAGCACTGGGGAACTGCCAGAGGACTGGAAAAGAGCTGATATACTTCCCATCTTCAAAAAAGGGGGAAAAATTAGATCCAGGAAACTACAGACCTAACAGCCTGACCTCAATACCAGGGAAGATTCTGGAAAAGATAATCAAGCAACGAATCAGTGAACACCTAGAAGCAAACAAAGTAATAACCAAAAGCCAACATAGGTTTGTTAAAAACAGGTCATGCCAGACTAATCTTATTGCATTCTTTGACAAAGTGACAAAATTAGTTGACCAGAGGAATGCTGTTGATATAATTTATTTGGACTTCAGTAAGGCATTTGATAAAGTAGAGCATAACCTACTACTAGATAAAGTAGAAAAATGTGAGTTACAGCATCACCACTAGATGGATTTGTAACTGGCTGACCAACTCAATGTGTAGTCCTCAATGGAACTGCATCTACATGGAGGGAAGTATGCAGTGGAGTACTCCAAGGCTCTGTTTTAGGCCCAGTACTCTTCAACATCTTCATCAATGACTTGGACAAGGGGATAGATGGGGAACTCATAAAATTTGCAGACGACACCAAGCTGGCAGGAATAGCCAACACTCCAGAAGATAGGCTTAGGATACAGAAGGATCTTGACAGACTTAATATTGAGCACTATCTAACAAAATGAAATTCAATGGTGAAAAAGTAAGGTTCTACATTTAGGCAAGAAAAATCAAATGCACAGGTACAGTGTATATGGTCCCTTGCTCAATAGTAGTAAATGTGAGAGGGATCTCGGAGTGCTAGTGGACAACCATTTAAATATGAGTCAGCAGTGTGCAGCAGCTGCCAAAAAAGCCAACACAGTTCTAGGCAGCATAAACAGAGGGATAGACTCAAGATCACATGAAGTGTTAATATCACTTTATAATGCATTCAGTTTTGGTCCCCACGTTGTAAAAAAGATGCCGAGACTCTAGAAAGAGTGCAGACAACAACAAAGATGATTAGGGGACTGGAGGCTAAAACCAGGGGGGGGGGATTCTACTGATTCGGGCTGGTTCAGGAGAACCGGATGTTAATTGTACATCCAGTTTGGCCTACGGTAGTTCCGAAGCCCAGCTGGCCCCGCCCACCCCTCCCCTCCCAAAAGTCACCATGCGCCTGGTTCTGGCTCCCAGGTAAATGTAGGGAGGCTTGCAAACGCAAAAATGGGGTGGGGGTGGACATGGGGGGGCACCCCCGTGCCCTCCCCCCATGCGCCATTTTGGGTCTCCTGAGGCTCCAGGGAGGCTTGCTATGCTAAAAACGGCCTTTTTTTGCTTGGGGGGTGGGTGCAGGAGGAGTGCTGCCTGTCACACACCCCAGGCCACGCCCATCCAGCCGGTGATTAGGGCAGAGAACAGGCTGCTCGATTAGGTGATTAGTTTGCCTCTCTCACCCGAGGGCTGCCTGCTCTCCCTCCCACTGGCTGGAATGTAAGGGCTTCATTCAGTTTGTTCCTGCCCTCACAGTAAAGGTTCTCCGGCAGCTGGGCTTGCAATTGGCTTGAAACAACTGAGTTCCAGGTCCTTCCTCCTCCTGCTCCTTTTGCTATGCCTGCTTCTGCCGTCTCCTCCTCTTCCTCCTCCTGCTTCCTGTGTCTCCTGCTACCTCTTCTTCATTCCTCTGCTTCTTCCCCACTTTTCTCCTCTCCTTCTCCCAGCATTGCAACTGGGTATGGATTCCCTTCCTGCACCTTTCCAAGTTTGCAAGACAAACATGCAACAGCCCAACTTGCAACCAAGTGCTTTCCCAAAACCTTTTTGGACGGAAACAAGGTATGTGTGTATGTGTGTGTGTGTGTGGGGGGGGTAATGTCACCTTAAGTGCTGGGTCTCCAAGGGAAACTCTCTCGTTTGCACCAAGACTGCTGACCCGTGTCTCTGCCTCTCCCCCTCCTTTTCTCTTTTGAATGGCTTTGTCAGCACTTCATCAACGTGCTGGATCTTCAGTTTGTTTTGCTGGAAGGGTGAGTAAGAATTGTCTCTTCTCCTCCCCCCTTTCTTCCCACTTTCTTAGAAGAAAGTTACAGGTCTAATCTGGAAGAGAATCACTGTGCTGAATCACTGAAAAGTGCAGGTGGTGGTCATTTACCCTCTTCCTGCTTTCCTGGGTCTTTGGGGGTTTCCTCTGGAGCAAAAGCAGAGAGCCTCTTCCAGTGAAGATTTCTTTGTGTCTTCTAATTTTCTTCCAGAGCAGAACAAAAAAGCTTCTTCCTGTGAAAGCTTTTCCTGTTCTTTATTCTGATTTTCTCCAGGAGCAAAATAAAGCCCTTTCTAGTGAAGTCTTCCCTGTGTGTTTATTATGATTTCCCCCTGGACTGGAGCAAAATTATCTGGTGGCAGGTCTTAAGTAACAACCCCACACTTATTTTACTCCATGCGTGGCCCACCCACTATTTAATTTACCACTTCTGTTTGTGCTTCTTTCCCAAACTGTATACTTTACTCCCTCCCCCTCCTCTCTCTCTCTCTCTCACACACACACACACACACATGTCCATGGTAAAATTGTCTTCCATGAAACCAGTCCCTGGTGCCAGAAAGATTGGGGACCTCTGAATTAGACCATGCAGGAGAGCCCTTTTAAGGGATTATGTATTAATAGAAAAGTAATTAACTTAGCTCTGATCCTAAACCTGGCTGAGGATTTCTGGGAGTTGAAGTCCACAAGTCATAAAATTGCCAAGTTTGAAGACCTCTGTCCTAAATGCTAACGCTGTTGCATATAAAAAAACAGAGGAGCTCTGATCAAGTATCACAACCACATTTTGGATCTGAGTGGAGGTCCTGGGAAAGGTGTCAGAATAACATTTAGAAGGGACTTTGGGGTGGGGCACCCTATACCATTTCAGATAAATGGCTGTCCAGTCTTTTCTTAAAATCCTCCAGTGTTGGAGCACCCAGAACTTCTGGAGACAAGCAGGTCCACTGGTTAATTGTTCTCACTGTCAAGAAATTTCTCCTTAGTTTTAGGTTGCTTCTCTCTTTGTTCAGTTTCCATCCATTGCTTCTTGTTTTGCCTTCTGCTTCTATGGAAAATACATTGCCCCCCCACCACTTCTTTGAGGCAGCCCCTTAAAAGCCTGTTGCCTATCACACTCTTGGGCAAAGCATGTGAGCCATTTCCTCCTTTCAGTGGTCCATGAAAGTACATCTGTAGTATGTAGATAATAAAGTCCAAAAAGGGTGAACAACATTTTTACAAAACTATAGATAAGTTGAAGCTGGGTGTGACAAGGAATGGCTGGAAGAGGAGGGGCCAGGTGAGGCACCCTTTGACGTGAGTGACATTGAGTTGGTCATGCCCAGCCAGTCACATGACCAAGCCACACCCATAAATTAAGCCACGCCTACAGAACTGGTTATTAAGAAATTTGAATCCCACCCCTGGCTAAAACATATGAAGAACAGCTGCAGGAACTGGGTATGTCTAGTCTAATGAAAGAAGGACTAGGGGAGACATGATAGCAGTCTTCCAATATCTCAGGGGCTGCCACAAAGAAGAGGGAGTCAAGCTATTCTCCAAAGCACCTGAGGGCAGGACAAGAAGCAATGGATGGAAACTAATCAAAGAGAGACAGTTAGAACAATTAATCAGTGGAACAACTTGCCTCCAGAAGTTGTGAATGCTCCAACACTGGAAGTTTTTAAAAAGATGTTGATAACCATTTGTCTGAAGTGGTGTAGGGTTTCCTGCCTAGGCAGGGGGTTGGACTAGAAGACCTCCAAGGTTCCTTCTGTTAAGGTCTTGGGATTTAAGAGCCGAACAGCAGTGAAGCTTACCAGATGTGGCTGATGCAATAAGAATGAATCGGCATAGCATGGGTATTTCCCTTTAAGACTGGGGATGGGTTCTATATAAGGCAGCCATTATTGAGGGCATGTTCTCTCTCCTTGTGTCCAGTATTCTTTGTAAGAGGTTCTCTGAGCAGAGTTAAGAAGAAAGATTGCTTGTAAAGGTATTTTGCCTATCACATATATTTCGGTATACAACTGTTGTAGATAAACCACCACTGTTTAATGTTTAAGTCTCTGTGCGCTGTGTTTTGCTCCTGGGTTGTCTCATAATAGCAGTCACTGCAAATGCTCTGACACTTTCCAACTCTGTTATTCTATAAGCCCTACTACTTATTTTGAGGCCTAAAAGAAAATAAGACCCAGTCAGGGAAACAGGTACTTAATTAATTTAATTAACACTTTAAAATGATACATTAGTCTGCTCACTATACATTTGTTTGTAGGTAGGTAAAAGACTTCGGAGGGGGGCATCATATGCCATATCTGGAGTTCCAAAATGCAGGAATCTGCTTATCCAAAATTTATCATCTTCCCTGCTTATAAATAAAAAAAACTAGGCAGTTGTATTAGCTTTGTTCCACTTTCCAAACCATGCAATTCTAGAAAAATGTAGGCTTCTACATCTTCTTTACTATCTGCCAAGCCAGTGGAGGATATAAGAGGAAAACTGGCTGATAATGCTTGTTGTAATAAGTCTCCATATAGTTGGCGCCTTCTAAATCTCTGGGTCTTTACATCATTATTCAATGCCTTAGGTCCAGGCTAGCTGGTAACCCAGTGGCCATCATAATGAATCATTCTGTGGAGGTGGAAGAGAAGGGTGAACGCATCATTTCAAAATATGCAAAGTGAAAATTTGCCCCTTGGTATTTCTGGGTATACAAGAGCAGTGCACATTTATTTTTAGACTTTTGTCTTTTTCTGCAAATGTTGCTGTCCATTAGGAGAGTTCACCCTGAAAGCTATATATTAATGTTCATTTCTTTACATGAATTACAAACACAGATATTTCTAAACTTTATTTCTTTTAATTCTTTTTTAAGATGGACAATGCATGTAAAAATAAAACCTAGTTTGGGAAGAGTTTTATCAAATTATCTTTATTGAGAACTTGATTCTATGATTTCTTTTGGTGCCCACTTCCATTTGGAATCCATATGAATTGGCATCTTTTAATAAACTGAGTCTTGAAGAACAAACAAAGTTTGAATTTCAAATACTTTTGCTAAAAAGTGGATGATTTGCAGATTAAGAATTGTCAATGAAAATGAACTGGATCAAACCAAATTAGGTTTGATGTCACTATAATGGGAAAAGTTGTGAACAAGTGAATCATGCATCTACTTTAAGCTGCTTAGTCCCTTCTCTGTTGATGAGTGGCTTCAAACTTCTCTTTATTTTACATAGTTTTTGGTCTTTCACTCATTACCCTTCAGGTAGAAGATATAGCTCTTCAAAGAGGATAAACTAGAGATAAGTGGTCATCCCACCAATGGAACACTCTTTCTATGTTGGCTGGAGAATCCTGGGAATTAGAAGTTCTCACATCTTAAAGTTGCTGAGGTTGAAAGTGTTGTAACAGATGATTTTAAAGACGAAAGGCCGATTTGTCCTCTAGGCCTATTTGAGTTCTCAGTTCATTTTTTTAATATGCACATCCTATGGGGATGTTTGGCACTTTTTCAGATCAAGCTTAAATTGGCTTCCTTGCATCTAATTAATAGTATTAGCACATCATTCTCGTATTGTTTGTTTTAGGCAAATACTAGAATCACTTTTCTTTATGTTACAGGTAGTCTTTGCTTGATGACTAGTCATTTGTTACAATGGAACTTTCGACAGACTCCCCAAATGATATTTACAATCTAGTTCTGGAGTTGTGACCACTATAACCTCCCCACCCAATCACATGACTGCATTTTGGTCACTTGGCAATCAAATCATCTTTAGGCTAGTTGCCGCATTCTGCATTGATATCACTGTGATTTACAACTTTTTTTTGCCAATTTCTGGCTTTTTTTTGCCTATTTCCAGCCTTTTTGGCCAGTTTCTGGCAAAATGCAGCTATAGAAATACAAGGATTTGTTTAATGACAGTATTTGTTTACCAATCACCATTTTTTTTTTGTCAAAACAGGTCAGCCACATGAGTGCCTTGACCTATGACTTAATGATGGAAATTCCGGGCTGCATTATGGTCATAAGTGAGATTTAAGTGTAAATGACATGACTGGGTAAGGAACTGTGAATACTGTTGAGTGCTAAGCTGCTATGTAGTTCCCACATGACTTTAACAAATTAACAGAGTTGGAAGGGACCTTGGAGTCATCTAGTCCAACCCCCTGCCTGTTCTGACCAAGGCTTCCTGAGACCATAATTAAGCACATGATTAGTCCAAACAACTCTTGTTTTATTTCAACACTGGAAATTATGTTAATTTGAGTCCCAAACAGTCTCTCGAGATAAGCACCCACCTTTATCTCCTTTGAACTAAAGTGCCAAATTAACTGTAAAAAGCCAAACGAAGTACAAAGTCCACACAGAGCTTCAAGGTTTAATCCAAACAGAGTGAACATTGCTTCCTGCAAAGGTTCCTGTCGCTTTGCACTTCCTTTATATGTTATGGGAGGGGCAATCACCTCCAAGCCTTACTCCCGAGTCACACCTTTTGTCTTAGCTGCTCTTGCCTTCTGGCAGCTCTGCGCACACGCACACTGGGCCCAGGCTCCTCTTATTCCTCTGCCTCGCTGTTGTCAGATTCTGGAGGCTCCGGAGTCAGCACATAACTCCCCAGATGGCCCTGGCCCCATCTCTATATCCGATGCAGGATTCTTGTCTGAGTCCTTCCGAGACTCCCAGACTGGCCCATGTTCTACCCCACTGTCCGATTTTGCTGTCGTCTCTGCAGGCTGACGGCGGACCACAACACTGCCCAAGTAGGAGACCCTATACCAGGGGTATCAAACTCAAGACCTGGGGCTGGATCTGGCCCTTTGGGTGCGCTAGATATGGCCCATGGGGCTGCTCTGAAAATAGTGAAGGACAGGCCTGTGGTGCCTCTGCCAGTGAAAATGGAACTCTGGTGGGCCACACATGGCTCTCCCAAGCTCAGTTTTTGCTGGTAGAAGGTTGCAGGAGGCCTTCCCAGCTGAAAACGGAATTTGGGAGCCCATTTTCGCTGGCAGAGCACTTGGGCCACCACAAGTACCCCCCAACACAAGTGACGTTACCCTGGCTATGCCCACTCTGGCCCCACAAGGTCAGACACAAACCTGATGCAGTCCTCAGTGAAATTGAGTTTGACATCCCTGCCCTACACCATTTCTGACAGAGGGCACTTATTGTGGCTTCAGTCATAGTTCAACTAATGTGCTAAGGAGCAGCATAAAAGTTTTAAAATCTCTATCCCACTGCAATTGCTTCATACTGTTTATAGAGAGAAGCTGAAACATGATCTCCAGTTTTAACTGTTGTGATTTTGATTCTGCTTTGATTTGTTTCATGTTAGAATGGCATTGTTATTCTAATTATTTTGTTTGCCGTGATATGGGAATGGAATATTTTGTTAATTTTCCTTCTTTCTCAGCATTTTTTAGCATTTGATGAGGAGAAGATGATGAAAGCTTATTCAACATATCTAGAGGGCATCACTATTGTTCTAGATTATGCTTGCACAACATGATTTGAAAAACAAAACACAATCACATTGGGCAATACTATTTGCACACTGAAAACTTTTCATTATATGCTTATGAAATATATTAATTTTGCAAAACTAACAGCAGAGCTAGATGCTACATTTGATAATGTGCCCAGATGTGGTTTGATAGTACGTCACTGGATGGTAATTGTCTGTGAGCAGATCTAATCCAGATTGAGTCTGTAGTCTTGCGGAAAAGAGTTTTGTTCTTTAATTTTTAGTCTCTTTCATAATTGAAATTGGCTCTACAATACTGTAGAGGATTTGAAAGACTCATGCATTTAAATCTATAAGGTTCTTGCATATCACTTCCAATGCAGTTGCATCTTGAGGCAGTTTACAGTGAAACTAGTAAAAATGAATGTTGCTTTGATAGAATATAACAAAACAATATAAAATAGATGAATGTAAATGGTGGGGTGTGAAAGCCAAATTTGACTCTAGGTTCTGCCTCAGTTTACCTTTCCAATAAGCAACTGAGTTGGGAGATCATTTAAAAGCAGTTTATTAGGGTACCCTGATAAAGTGGGTCTCTCTATGAAAAAGGAGGAGAGAATCTTGAGCCCCATGTTTTCCTTCTGTTTATAGTTAACACCAACAAAGAAAATGCAAGAGGAAAGTTGATTGGACGGAATAAAAGTAGCCTCCCCTTTCCATAGGAAATCAGTTACATGTAATCAAACATGTTACATATTTGTATCCCATAATATCACACCATATTCATTAAAATGAGATCTGACATCAGAAAGGGCGTAGTTGTTAGGAAAAAGCTTGTTTATCAGTTTAGGAATGTTAATAGCTAATAAATCTGAACATCATTTTAAAAGAGAGAAAATAAATCAAATTAAAATACAAGGTAACTATGCTAGTTAACAAATAACAAAACCCATGTTATTTGCCCCTCAGGTCAGAAATGAAAAAAATAAAGTGAAGCAACTCATCCAGAACACTTATATAAGGAAGATGGGAATGAAGATAATGTACCTTCTCAGATATTAAATAAGATGTATTCATGGGTACCTGAGAGATTTCATGGAAAATTCTAGATGGCTGGGGAGATTGTGAGGAATCACAAAATTAAACAGTTGTATGGCAAATGCAACAGAATCTCTGTTAACTAAGTGATCAGTCAGGTTTATAATAGGAAAGGTGTAGGTCAAAAACAGACAAACAAAAAACAATCTTGATAGTAAATTTGCAGCCAATAATCAGTTGCTAGTGTGTGACATGGTCATGTGTCTCCTTTAACAATCACTGTGACCTGCACTAGTTGTGGCTTCCAGACCAAATGCAAGATTAATTTCACATAAAGCACATTATAGCAGTTGTAATCTGTGGGGAACCACTGTAGTTAGATTGTTCTTGTCCAACAAAATTAATGTGACAACTCTGCTGGCAACAAACTACCCTAAGCAGAGAGGCTATTTAGGTTTCAATGCTAGTGATAACACTCGGAGCATTCCCTGACTACATATTTGTTCTTTCTGAGAGAAGTTTCATTTAGAACAGATAGACTACCCAATTTCCAAATTCAGAAAACACCTACCCACAAGGGATGTGATTCAGTCTGTTTATTGGTCCTTTTCTACACCATTACTACATCCGGACACTGTAGATTGTCTTTTTAGTCTTAAAATTATTGAGAAATAGAGCTGAGCATCATAAGCATCTTCATGTAGGGCTGTGATGGCGAACCTATGGCACGTATGCCAGAAGTGGCACGCAGAGCCACTTCTGCCAGATGCAGGAGGTAGCCGGGAAGAGCCCCACTGTACATGTGCACGCGCCACCGCCAGCCAGCTGATTGTCAGGTATCTGCTGCACATGCGTGGGGGGAGATGTGTGCATGGGAGACACGCGTGCATGTGCAGAGGCATGCAGCATGCGGGGGGGTGTTGTGTGCGCAGGCACAGAGGTGTGCAGTGGGGGAGCGCATGCGCAGGGGGCAGGGGGAGTCGCGTGCACATTGCATCATGGGTGCAGGCATGCGAGCGCACTTTGGGCATGCAATGCGGAAAAAGTTAGCCATCACTGATGTAGGGGATAATTAACACACAGGATGACAATAAATAGTGGTTTATGGCAGCCCATAACATTTGTACTAAGGAGCAGTCGAACATTCTGTCTTAATTTCTAGTCTATCCCAGATTGCTATTTATGCCGCAACATAATACTGAAGTTTGTTGTTCTATTTGCTCTGGAAGCTGTTTTGTAGAACAAACCAGAAGCAGAAACTACTGTTTGATTTTCTTTCAGTGAGTCATAATAACCATAGTTTGTCAAATACATTTTGATCACTAAGCCTCAAACCAAAGAAGTCAAGGTCACAGACCTTTCATTCAATAATTGTTCACAATTCTAAATATTATTGAAGAATATTTAATTTAATAAATGCAGGTCCTAATAAAATATGTTTGCTAGTTGTGGCTAATGAATATAGAAGTAAAAGTCTTGAGTTTTTAATGATATTTATGAATTGTATGAATCGGATATATGTGCTGATTCCACAATTCCTGCTCTCGGTGGAGTGTGGCTCAATAATAGCTGAACAGAAAACTAATTTAGGATTAGCTGACAATGAGAAGCTGCTTATCAATAGTCAATCCTATCTAAATGAGTAGTTTGTTGGATTTGTTGTGGAAATGCCTATCTTGCATATTGGATTATATTTAATAGCACTGAAATATATGCTTCAAAATCAAATAGGTAACTCGCCTGATAAACAAAGAAGTGTTCTAGTATAATTAAAATATATAATCAGTCCTATGTGAGAGCACGAGGTATGTTGGAAAAAACATAAAAACAAAAATAGTTAAGCTGTGGTCCTCCTGTCATTGAGCTCTTCATACATTTTACTTAACAATTCCCAAGTTGTTTCTCTGGGGACTATAAAATTATGCTTTTGAGAGTATTTGCTATCTGTTCATCAGTATTATTTCAGGTCTGTTTAGTGTCCTAGATTGTGTTTGTTAGCTTGTTTTTTCAGAGAGGAAACTATGGGAAGTGAGGACCAAACCTAGAAGAGAAAGCAACAGGGAACTGAAAGTAAAAAGAGATTATGGTGTAGATATCTTAATAAATCCTTGGTGTTTGCAGCAGTTAGAAGGGTCCGCAGAATTTTAGAGTTTCTAGTTTGAGTCATGGCTGATTGAAGATGTTTCCTTGAACAAGCAGAGATGACAACAACTGTGAAACAGACTGATAAGCTCCAGCCCCACATTTCTTCCCACAGAAGGGGCATTTGGGAGATCACCCACTTTGAATGGCAGCAGTTCACAAGAAGACCATACATCAGTGATGTCAGAGGAATTTGAGCATAAAGAGCTGAGGGAAATCACACCTTTGCTCTCAGGAGTAGCAGAACCTTTCATAAGGACATGAAGTCAGTAAATTCACTTTCTAATCACATTTGGAAATGTTCCACTTGATAGATATTAGAGATTTTCAAAATGGTGAGCTCAGTGTGACAACTGGTGAATGTTACCTTTTCAGAGTTAAAAAAAAATGTAAACAGACTTAATTTAAAGTAATTGGCAAAAAGCATTAATTTTTGATTTGGGCTTTTGATTTAAGAGGGTGTTAAATAGTGTTAAGCAGATTGGGAAACCAGAGAGATTGGTTAATATTGCTATAGATTGTAAAATAAATATATAATCAAATAATATACTCATAGGAAAGGAATGAAGCAGAACCCATATTAGCAATTTAGACTTGATGAAGGTTCCAAATGGACACTAGAGGGAACTAAAAGACCAGGCAGAAAAGAGTTAAATGACTAAGCTAAGCTTTCTTATTTTAAAGAGCTTTTTGAAACTAAACCTGGACTGAAATATTAATAACAAATGATTCAGAAAGGATACAAATTTAAATTAACAAAATTTTAGAGGATGATGTGAAAAAACTTTAAAACTATTTTAACTGGCATACATATTATAGAGTTTGAAGGCAACAAAATTGAAATTAGAAAAATGGTAATATACAAAGGATTCATCAAGAAAAGAATTTAGACATGGAACAGCTGCAACAAGAAATTCTGAATGATGTCTCTTTATAGGATTTACAAAGTAGGTTGGTGAAAGCTTTGAAAACTCCTTTTAAATGCCAGAGAATGATGAAAGATCAAATCCTGTGATGCTATAAGAACGATTCAAAGGCCAAGCCAAGCAAAAATAATATAAAATTGGACTATTTGACCAGGGATAAACTGTTTGATATGGATGGGAATTCCTTTTTTAAAATAAATTTTATTACGTTTTCAAATTTTAAAAACATAAAACTTTATATATTGTTATCAACATCAAGACATCTTTTGCATCTCCTCACATTTTTCAGTATATATATTTATTTATTCTTTTACCATTGCATCTTACTCTTGCTATAAATCAATATCTTTTATCCTTACATATCAATCTTCTCCATGGTATATTTACATATTGATGGGAATTCCTAATGAACTTTTGACTGAATTAGGATTTTAAGGATTATGATTTCTGGATTGCATATAGATGAAAAGACAAGACTATTGGGAGAAGAGCTTTTTGATTTGTAACTTTAAAAGATGGTTAGTATAAGTATATTAGCTTATGTTCAATATGATGAAGACTGGAAGCCATTTCTTTATTATTGTCTTAGTTGCCTTTATCTTTCCATTTTTCTTTTCTTTTGTTTTTTAGTCTTGATCTTTTTTTGTAATTTCTAAACTTTTACCTTTCTTTTTTCTTCTAGTTTAGTTTGCATTAGTATCTATGTTTATTAAAGACTTCAACAACATTATTAACTAAAAAGGGTCCGAGTAGCAATTCGGAAACAATAGCATAATTTCCTATCCATTAATGTTGCACAAAATAAAAGTATATTTCCATATACTTCTTGGAAAGATTTCAACATTTCCTACTTGGGGAATACAAAGAATAAGGCATTTGCAGTTTACGGGAAGTCAAGGGTTTTTGTTTCCTGCCAAATGGAAGAAAAAGAAGTGGCAGCGGGGAGAGGGGGGGAGGGGGAAGAAGAGCAAAAGCAAACCAAAGGAACAAATTTTTCCAAATGCTGGCTCCATATGCATGCACTTTTTTTTTGGCATCCCACAGAATGGGAATCTTCCATATCCCCAAATTATTTGTTTGTTTTGCTACTTATATAGTTGGTCATAAAGAAATATGTGCAATATGCAAGCTGAAGCTATCAATCACGTCCCATTCCCTAGGGATTGCACCACTTTCTTTTAGCTCACATCTTTCATGCACCAGGGCTCCATAATCAGAAAAAGCAAGTACATTCATTCTGAGAGCAAATGTGATTTGTCATAAAAACCTGGGATAAGCATCCGAATATAGAATGCAGGTGAGCTGGCTTCTCTTCCATTCCATCCCTTTTATATTTGCTTATCTAGGTAAGAAATTTTAATGAATTTAGTTCAGTGGTGGGATTCAATTTTTTTTACTACCGGTTCTGTGGGCATGGCTTGGTGGATGTGGCAGGGGAAGGATACTGTAAAATCTCCAGTCAGAGATGGTATTTGCTGGTTCTCCGAACTACTCAAAATTTCCGCTACCAGTTCTCCAGAACTGGTCAGAACCTGCTGAATACCACCTCTGGTTTAGTTCTGTTGCGGTAGAAATAGTGCATTTATGGAGAGAAAAGGGAGGTACTATTATCAAACTCGGGATACTGCCTCCATTTTTAATTGCTTTAATTGAGAAAACAGTTGCCTGTTGACTTGCAACATCTCCCTTGCCCAACAATGTTAGTGTAGTCTATAGTGGAATCACAAAGGCACAGAATTCATATGAGAACAAGGCAAAAGCAACTGAGCTGCCCTAAATTTTAAAACATTAATCCTTCAAAAGCCAGATGGCATCATCCGGGCCCAGGTGAGATATCAGTATTTGGCACATCTGGGTGATAGGCATCCCAAATTTTGTAAAAGTAGAGAAAACATTCAGGAAAAAACTCAGAAAGAGTACCTTTCAAACACACTTGAAAAGGGTTGTGGCTCTATTGAATGGACAGGAGTCATTTCTCAGCAATTTCATTCACACTGTTCCATTTTAGCAGTGTTTCCAAACTTGTAACATCAGTGTAAACATGCAATAGAAAAACCCTTGGGCAGAATAAATTCTCAGGAAAAGCATACTTCATTCTGCAGTTCCTTACACAGCATTTGGCTTTCTACACATAAATATATGCAACTACTCAATCCCAAAGTGCCTCTCTTGTTTGTACCATGTGGCTGTGGGAAACAATGCATTAAAATAATGTTGGAACTATATTTAAAATTTTATAATTATAATTTAATTTCAAAATTACAGTGTCTTATATTTTGTTTTTGCTATCATGCGATCACTGGAAGTGGCCTTTGAGACCATAAAATCCAATTCTCTGCTAAGTGCAAGAATTCAAACTTAGGAGAATCCCGTAGATGCTGTCTGGAGCAGTGTTTCTCAGCCTTAGCCACTTGAAAGATGTGCAGACTTGAACTCCCAGAATTCCCCAGCCAGCTAAAATTCTGAGAGTTAAATGTCCATACATCTTCAAGTGGCCAAAGTTGAGAAAGATTGCTCTAGAGCAGGGGTCTCCAAACTTTAAGACTTGTGGATTTCAACTCCCATGCTGGCTGTGGCATTCTGGGAGCTGAAGTCCACAAGTCTAAAAGTTGCCAAGTTTGGAGACCCCTGGATGTGAGGATGCTTTTTACTAATCTTTAATCAGAATCTGCCTTCCTATAACTTATAACTATCTGCATGGATCAAAGTAAGACTTGAATTCATGAGATGGTAAATTAATATTAGGTACATAAAACAACACACATTAATTTGTGCACTGAATATAGTTCTGGTAAATATATCAGACAGGCTTCTGCACATAACAGAAGTATGATAGCGTTGGTCACATGTTTTGGCTACATGTAGATCTACTTACAAAATGAGTTATAGAAATAATTTTGACTCCTCAGCTATGTTATACCACTACAGTTCCTTGCAGTTGTCAATTCCATAAATCATTCTGTAATAATTAAAATTACTTGGTTATTGCTCTTACTGTTTTCTTAACCTTGTCTGAGCTGTATTCTAGTTCTTTAGCCAAGCTTTGCTATTCTGAAAGATGGTTATTCTCATAAGAATGATATATTGTAAGACTGCTTCCTAATGGTAAAACACAGAACATCACACCTATACTTTCATTGCATTATGCATATTAGAGCCAATCAATTACAGATTTTCTAGGTTTATTAAAATTACATATGAAACAGCATGGCAAGTGGAACATACGGAAATACATTGAATTGAATTATCTGAACATTTCTTAGCCAAGTGCATTTTGTTTCCACGTGGCTTAGCAGCCTATCCAATATATTGTGTAGTTTTCTGTCAAATAACTATACATATTTAATGTATACATATATTTATAATACATCATTTCCAGATATTAAGGCACAAATAAGCACATACACCAGGTTGGGGACATCAGGGGAACCGGGCTACACAGGCTTGCTCTAGTGAAGGGTCAGTGCATACATGCGCAGCGCAACTTGCGCAAGCGGCGGACTGGTGTGTGCACAAATGCACCAGCCTTCCACTTGCGCAGGTCAGTTCCCCTCTCTCCTCCCCCAGGCCACCAAGCTGTAAAGGTTGGGGACCACTGATACAACCAATTGATCATTTTATATCTGTATATTATCTATCTTCTAATTTGTATCTAAACTGGAAGTATGATTTAACATTTTTATAGAAAACATGTAAAATTGACCTGTGACTGTCCACTTCTCCAGTTCCTGTTCCCTATTGACAGATCTAAGTACTAGATTCCAACTTATTCCTAATCTACCTTGTGTCAATTCATAAAATATTTCTATGGTCTTTTAGAGTTGCCAACAGAAAGGCAGGGGGAGAGCAGTGCGGCAGCTGCATTCCATAAATGTTTTCAAAGATAGTAACTAGGTGATCGAAGTTTCTACTGCGCAAAATTCTAACTGGAGAGCATGGTTGGGCTATGGATGTGTCCCATTGGAGAATATGAATTATGATACACCCATGGGGTGGGGGAAAACTAGGGTCAAGGGTGACAATGAATGATGTGTCTCAGAGTCGGCTACACCCAGGCAATGCCAGACCGTTTAACTCCCAACAAATCCTTTTGAAGTTTTGGAAGTTTGGCTTGAGACTCATGATTTAAATGGGGTTAAGTGTCAGGATCCTGACAACTAGCCGACTCTCATAATTCATCATCATTACCAGGACAACTGACGCCCGGCCTCTTCCATTGCTTCCTGACATCTGGAATGTGTGGAGAGAAAGTCAGGCGGCCATGGCAGAAGGGGGATTATCAGAAGAAGACTTGCTCCAAACTACCCAAATGCAAACAGAAGCTGATGATGTAACTACAGCCGAAGTGGAGAAACCTGATCCAGTGAAGGCAAGAAAAACAGATAAGTACTAATGGGAAACAAAACTCCCTAAAATTTCGGAAGTTGAGCTCCCCTATCCCAAAAAGGGAGGAAGGCCCCTGAGCGAGTTGGGAAGAGTGGAATGGATGTGGGACTGGGAACAAGCCACAGCCCCAAAGCTTCTGACAGGATCCCTGGGGAGATCCATAGAGCAATTGAGAGAGGAATTTGACTGGGCTACCATTAGAGATGATGGCCCATCATGCTGCCCAAAACAGAGACGAGTTTCCACAGAGCCTTCTGAAGTGAGGAGAAGCCGGTGAGACCACAGCCTCCCTCTTCTACCCAGGAAAAGAAAAAAAAAACCACAACAGCAACCAGTGCCTCACCCATGCAGCAGGCAGCCCCCTCCTCTTGTGCGAACTAGAGCCGGGGAGGAAGGTCAGCCACCTCAAGCACAGATTTACAGAGGGCGACAGGAAGAGGGCAGAGCAGAGCTCTACAAACTGCCCTGATTCAGGGGAAAATTTGATGGGGACCCAGACCAGCTAGCTCTATTCCTTGACTAAGCTGAGATCCACCTAGAAAGCTATCCACCTAGAAAGCTCTACACCTCCCCTAGAGCCATGGTGAATGCCATTTCTGAGGGGTTGGAGGGAGAAGCAAGAGGATAGCTAGTAACCTTCCACAAGAGAAGGGCTACCCCTTATCAGAGGCATTTTGGGTAAAGAGTAGGAACGTCCAAGCCAATCACCTTGTGACAAGGTTCCATACAGAAAACCCAAACAAGCTTGAGGGTGGTTTGCAACCCTAAGTCCGACCTGCAATAAATTTGTTTTCTTTTTGTGTTGTACAGGTCACCTTCAAGAAGTGAGGGGAGCTGAATGTCAACTCATAAAATATTTCTATGGTCTTTTAGAGTTGCTAACAGAAAGAGGGGGAGAGCAGTGCAGCATCTGCATTCCATAAATGTTTTCAAAGATAGTAACAAGGTGACCAAAGTTTCTGCCATGCAAAATTCTAACTGGAGAACATGATTGATGACTCTTGGCTATGGATGTGTCCCATTGGAGCATATGAATTACGATACACCCATGGGGTGGGGGAAAACCAGGGTCAAGGGTGACAATGAATGATGTGTCTCAGAGTCGGCTACACCCAGGCAATGCCAGACTTTTTAACTCCTAATAAATCTTTTTGAAGTTTTGGAAGTTTGGCTTGAGACTCATGATTTAAATGGGGTTAAGTGCCGGGATCCTGACACCTTGCATATGTTATATGAATGCCTGATATCCTAAGTAGAATATTTCCTTGCTTACAGAATGATAGTTTAAAAGGCATTATTATAGGATCCAAATTTGAGCCAAAAGATTATTAGAAGACACTATATAATAATTATATCACAAGGAATAATTTGTGTTAATAGGAGATATGAGGGAGATGATGCAGTTCAATCACCATCATGTTCAGAAAACAGGACCCAACTGTAGTTCAGTAGTACTAGTATTGTTTGGAATAAGTAAATAAATTTGGGCAGAATATTCATTTTTATAGTGGCAATCCTCCCTAATGAGATTTGCAATTTAACCCATATCTCTAAATCTTTTTTAACTTGTTGTAATAATTTATTATAATTATTTTCCATTAGAGTTCTGCATTGAGCCGTCAACCAAATTCCTAGGTATTTAACTTTTTTTACTATTTGTAATCCCATTATCCTTTCCAATTTTAGTTTTTGTTTTTCTGTTAAATTTTTAGTTATTAATTTCGTTTTTTCCCTATTAATTTTAAGCCCTGCAACTTCCCCAAATTGATCTAACTCTTTCAGTAATTCTTGACCTGTTTCAATTGGTGCCTCTATGAAAAATACCATATCATCCGCAAATGACTGGAGTTTAT